CGGGATCGTCTTCCAGGGCCAGTTCGGGATGAGGCCAAGTGAGACGCTGGGAATCGACGCCGACGATATCACTTTGCCCGAAGACTTGGGCTATCCTACTGGGACGGGGCCTGGGGCCTGTGGTCGTGGGCCTTGGGATCAGAGCTCTGACCAATGCCGAGCGGCCGCAGTCTGTCTCGCTTTTGTAGGAGAACGAGAGGGGCCTCGCGGAGGGCCTCAGGCTGCTGCGACGCGTCACTCCCCCAGGTGCTGACCTGCTCCCGGTGTCCCTGGTCTCCTGCCGTGGCCATATCAAGAATGCGCAGGCCTCCTACGACCTGGCCCCAGCCCCTGGACAGGTTCCGCTTCGGAGTCGGCGGCGGGGTGCGCTTCGAGACCATCAGGGAGATGGGCCGCTGCACAGATGCATCGATATGGTTCAAGCGTCTCAGGTTGGCACAGCTCCTCGCGCTGCTGGGCTACAGACCGCCCTGGACCGGCGCCCCGCCAATGGATCTCGGTCTGCAGGACAGCCGTCGATGGTGGAGACGACGGACCACCGCGGGGCGAAGGTCACACATCGCAAAGGCGCGGCCGCGGCGGCCAGGGGAGAGCCCGTGAACGAGGAGAGCTCGGACATCGGTGGTGGGTGTGCCCGAGCAGCCTCGCCTCGTCGGCGCGCCATCAAGCCTCACCCGTGTAAGGGGGACGGACCGACACGCCGCATCGGGGGGCTGGGCACGCAGCAGCCGCCCCGCCCCAAGAACGGCATGCACCCATCATCAGCAGCATCAGCATCATCATCATCATCATCATCATCAGCAGCAGCATCATCATCATCATCATCATCACCACCACCACCACCATCATCATCAGCATCAGCATCAGCATCATCATCAGCAGCAGCAGAAGCAACAGCAGCAGCAGTATGAGTATCATTATCATCAGCAGCAAGATCATGATCACTATCATAGTCATCATGACCACCATCATAAGCATCATCATCATCAGCAGCAACATCAGCATCAGCATCAGCATCAGCATCAGCATCAGCATCAGCATCAGCATCATCAATACCAGTATCATCATCATGAAAATCAGCATTATCAGCATCGTGATTATCGCAACCACCATCAGCGTCAGCATCATCAGGATCACAATCGTTGTCGTCATCGTCTTCACCAGCAGCAGCATCATCATCTTCAGCGGAAGCATCAGCATCAGCATCAGCATCAGCATCAGCATCATCATCATCACAATTATCAGCATCATCATCAGCAGCAGCATCATCAGCATCAGCATCAGCATCATCATCAGCATCAGTAGCATCATCATCATCATCATCATCATCATCATCATCATCATCATCATCATCATCATCACAATCCTCAGCAGCATCATCAGTATCACCATAATCACCGTCAGCATCATCATCCATCATAATCAGAAGCGTTGTCATAATCGTCATCATGAGCAGCATCAGCATCATCAGCAGCATCAGCATCAGCATCATCATCACAATCGTCAGCATCATCATCAACAGCATCAGCATCAGCATCATCATCAGCATCAGTATCATCATCATCAGAACCATCATCAGCATTATCAGCATCATCACAACCATCACCATCAGCATCATCATCATACTCACAAACGCTGTCGTCTTCATCAGCATCAGCATCATCAGCATCATCAGCAGCATGTTCATGAGCATCATCATCATCATCATCATCATTACCATCATCATCATAATCACCAGCATCAGCATCATCATCGGCATCAGCATCGTCATCAGCATCAGCATCAACATCATCAGCATCAGTATCATCATCACCAGCATCAGCATCAGCATCAGCATCATCACCACCACCATCAACATCTGCATGATCATGATCACAATAGTTGCCGTCATCGTCATCATCAGCAGCATCAGCATCATCAGCATCAGCAGCAGCAGCATCATCAGCATCACCATCATCAGAATCGTCATCGTCATCAGCATCAGCGTCAGCATCAGCATCATCATCAGCATCAATGTCATCATTACCCTCATCATCATCATCATCACCAGCATCAGCATCATTAGCATCAGCATAACCACCACCATCAGCGTCACAATCGTCTTCACAATCGTTGTCGTCATCATCAGCAGCATCATCAGCAGTAGCAGCATCAGCATCAGCATCAGCATCAGTATCAGCATCATCATCATCATCATCAGCATCATCAGCATCATCATCATCACCATCACTATCATCAGCATCAGTATCGTAAGCACAAGCATCAACATCAGGATCCTAATCATCACCATCAGCAGCAGTATCATCATCAGCATCATCAGCATCATCAGCATAATCATCACCACCACCAGCATCAGCATCATCATACTCACAGTCGTTGTCGTCATCGTCATCACCAGAAGCATCATCATCATCAGCGGCAGCAGCGTCAGCATAAGAATCAGCATCATCAGCATCAGCATCATCATCATCAGCAGCATCATCAGCAGCAGCAGCATCATCAGCATCAGCATCAGCATCAGCATCTGCATCAGCAGCAGCATCAGCAGCAGCATCAGCATCATCATCATCCCCGTCATCAGCGTCACCAGCATCATCACCACCACTACCATCAGCATCATCATAATAATCAAAATCGTTGTCGTAATCGTCAGCATCAGTATCATCATCATCATCAGCATCAGCTGCAGCATCATCGACATCAGCAACATCACCAACATCAGCATCAGCATCACCATCAGCATCAGTATCAGCATCAGCATCATAATCATCATCCTCATCATCATCACCATCATCAGCATCATCAGCATCATCATCACCACCTCCATCAGCATCATCATTATACTCACAATCGTTGTCGTCATCGTCATCATCAGCAGCATCCTCATCAGCATCATCATCAGCATCACCATCATCATCAGCATTTGCATCGGCATCAGCATCATTCTCATCATAATCACCTTCATCATCGTCATCACAATCATCACAATTACCGCGAGAAAGATGGGGAAGAGGAGGAGCGGAGGCAGGAGGAGGGCGGTCATGATCAGGATTACTTCATTTGCTCTGAGGGGATCAGGGAGGGGGTCTCGATGATCCACCTCCGCGACATTCTCATCGCACTTATCATCGTCATCATCACCACAACCATCACCAGCAGCAGAATCGCAAGTGTAAGCATCACCCTCACCTCCCCATGCTGCTCTCCTGCTCTCTATCCTCATCTGATTCCTCAGCATCCCACCATTCATCCCTGCCTTCCTCCCCCCGTCCCTTCTTATCCCTCTCATCCTCTTCCTCCTCCCATTGCTACTTCCTCAAGCGCCCCTCCGATTGCTCCTCCTTGGTCACCCGTAGTGGGGAGAAGAAGAAATTATGATTGAGGAGAGAGGACGGATGCACAGAACGGAAAGATGGAGGAGGAAGAAGGAAGCAGGGAAGGCAATGGGGATGAAGAGTGAGGGATAGGCACGAGGAAACGAGGGATGGAGGAAGCGGCAAGGTGCCCACTCTCACACTCCCGCCTCCAAACTCACAAGGCCGGCCCCCTTCCAGACCTCCGAAGCAAGCAAGCAGCCTCCGAATCCCACGCAGCAAGGGTGGGGAGGAGGAAGCTGGTTCGATAGGACTTGGGGTGCGCCTGCAGGCTTTGGGAAGCTCCTGGGGATCAGGACCAGCATCAGCAGTAGCGCCGATCCCCCCAGTCCCCCCGTCTTCTGCGCTGAGATCAAGTCTGCATCAGAACCCGCCGCTCCTGGAAGAAAACAGCTGGACTTGACCGTACCTCTCGAAAGTCCGTGGGATGTTTGGGGGGTCCGCACTGACCACCCCCCTTCCCTGGCACGCGGAGCGCAGCAGGGTTGGCGCCCGAGGCGCCGCCAAGGGCTCCAGCGCCGATCCAAGAAATCCGCGGACATCCGACGGTGTATGCTTGTGCTGGTGTTGTTTATTCGAGTCTGCCTTCAGAACATGCCGTTTCGAATCCACCCTCTTCGGATTGCGTCCAACTTCTGATAGACCGCCGAACACCCATGCCGATGGAAGGAGCAACGTGCTGGTGCTCGCTGACGTGGCGCGCGAACATCGGCCACCGCTCAAGGAAATCTCGAGAGAGTGCGATCGCATGCGGTAAGGGATGGTTCCACGATAATCACCGTCAGAATAATAATAATCATCATCATCATCATCATCATCATCATCATCATCAGCATACACCTCCGCATCCGCCTATAGTCATCGTGCTGCCATAGGGGACGCTGGATGAGTAACGAAGGGGCTTTCCTGGTCACAGCGAGTCTCGGCCACAAGTAGGTTACCCGACACAGATCTAAAGAACGGTCTGAAAACCAAAGCCCCTCCTGAGCCCAACAAGGTCCTTCAGCAACTTGACTTTACAACTCGTCCTCCTCCTCCTCCTTCTCCCCCTCCTCCTCCTCCACGTGTTCCTCCTCCGTCTCCTCCTCCTCCTCCTCGTCCCTCTCCTCCTCCTCCTCGTCACTCTCCTCCTCCTCCTCATCCTCCTCCTCCTCCTCTTCGTCCCTCTCCTCCTCCTCCTCCTCCTCCTCGTGACTCTTCTCCTCCTCCTCCTCCTCCTCCTCCTCCTCCTCATCCTCTCCTCCTCTCCCTCCTGCTCCTTCTCTTCATCCCAATCATCGTTCGCCTCCGGCTCCAAACCAACCTCCGCCGTGACAATTCCCATACTCCGCTTGACCTCCTCCACCCCTCCTTCCTCCTCAGGAGGCCCAAGACAGGCGTGCGCGTCGAGCCACGTATACGAGTATGACCCATCTGTTCGCGAAGCCACCCTCAATGTCACGAACGTTCCCGCAATGCGCTCTGTCGAATCCTATGTGCATTTGTGCGCGCACGTCGTTGCGTCGCAACTGACTGGTGAAAGCAGCACCTAGGGAGCTGGAGTATCCGAGCCCTTTAAAAACACTCTCACCAGCACTGGTCTGCCCGCCAACCTGGCCATGGCAATGCATCACCCAGGGCGGGGTCCTGAGCTTGCTGGCGTGCACTCGGCGG